TGAGAAACTGAAATGACGAAGAAAAAAATCTCCGGAAACGGCTTCTTGTGAGCACGCGGTGCGTCCGGCCTTTCCGACGGAGCAGCGAAAAGGAACATGGTGGGGGACACTTCACTCTTCGACTAACTGCCAAATTTTGGTCTTTAAGAGCCGCAGAAACCCGTCTGTTTCGTGCTATATGCGTTCATAAGCTTCTTGGGTACTTGTTAGTGCGTATGTTGACAGGCAGGCTGCTACCAGAACAGAATAAAATGAGTTATTACGGAGCGCTCGTACCGACCAGCGCCGCTCAGCTGAGTTGCTAACCTGAAGCTAGTGGAGAAAATAGCGACAAGTAGCTACTGCGTAGTTGAACCGAAGCATTTGGTACAAATAACGTATCCTTGTTAATACTGGTAGCAAATAGCTTGACTATTGCCCCTAAGTAATGCGAATGTGTAACGTACGGATGATAATGTTAGATAGTCTTGCGTTGTGCGTGTTAGCCGAGCTGATGGCGTGTTAGATGCCCATGCTCTCCTTACAACGTGTTTGCTTGTTTTCTGTCATTCAGGCCAAAATCAAGGCAAGAGATCTGCGGGGCAAGAAGAAGGAGGAGCTGCTGAAGCAGCTCGACGACCTGAAAAATGAGTTGTCCCAGCTGCGAGTGGCCAAGGTTACTGGTGGAGCTGCTTCCAAACTCTCCAAGATGTGAGTACTGAGCATAAATACATAAATCCTACTGAACCAAACCAACCCAGATGATCCTTAACCGGTCAGGTAGATACTTGTAGTCAGGGATGCATGGGATGTCACTTAACATCTGATAGCACTCGAGTAAATACTTTCCCAACCACAGCTGTAATGTTTCGCTGTTGTTTCGCTGGGTTAATCTGGCTAATAGGCTAATAGGTTTGGATTCCATGGCTCACTGCTGACACTTGAAGAAGTACTGAATAAGTAATGACCATAAAGTCAGCAAGTTCAGAGTTGGCACACACTGAGTTGTCCTGGGGATACATTTCTTTGCTATAGGTAACCCCATCTAAAGAGAAACTTGCATATAGTTTAACAGAGGTTTACATGGATGTTGAGTCATTTGAGTAACATGTGACTGCTCAGACTTTTAGCTCTGGCTGATTTGTTGGCCGTGTCCCTTTTAATGTGTTTAGGAAGCAATATCCTATTAAAATGTGTAGTTGAAATACCTGAGTGAATATGAACAGTGACTTAAAGCTAAGAAGAACAAATGAAGAAACAATATAACCAGAAATGATTGTTTAAAGACCCACAGATTTGTCTTTAAGTCTTCATTTTTGCCTTAACATTGACTTTGGTCCAGTATTTTAAAAGCTTGTTTGTATATTGATGTGTGGTTCACTGTTTTTGTTGCCTGACCTGAAATACATACACAACAAGACATTTGTTAGAATCATTGCAGTTTTTTTTTAAGTACATTAAAACAGCTAATGTGCTCTTGTCTTGGACACTTTCCTAAGTGGTTGCACGGCTGACTTTGCTGTTTACTCTTCACAGCCGTGTTGTTCGCAAGTCCATCGCCAGAGTCCTGACTGTAATCAACCAGACACAGAAGGAGAATCTGAGGAAGTTCTACAAGGTGAGCCCCTCCAGATGTTCCCATGTTAAACACACACATCTGCCTGCTTCAAACGCTTCTCCTTCGGTTCTTGCTGATGCATCGCAGCTGATTACCAAAATTACTTGTGACTGTATTTGATATTAACAAGTAGAGGTGGGAATCACCATACAACTCACGATACGATATTATTGCAATTTTTAAAAATATTTTGCGATATTCAGATTCTGTACATAAAGGTAAACTTTATCAATATTCATTTTCTCTAATATCAAAGTCTCACACTCAGTCTTTCTCTCATTTCAGTTTGATTGTTGACAAACTGAACGGTTTGTATTACAGTCTAGTCCAACTTAACTGAATCAACCATCTGGTACAATTATAGCTATTCTGAACTATGCAGTTTATGAAAACTATGCAGCCCCTTCAGCAACTGAAGAATTTGAAAGTAAATTAAAACAAAATATAATTTTACATTAAATAAAAAAGTTTTAAACTTAATTAAAATAAAACATGTCTTAAATTAAAATAAGTAAACTGTCATGTTTATTGCTGCCAAAAACAAGTTAAACACATTTGGACAGTGAAGGAATGTCAGGATTCTTGCTCAGAAAAAGGATCAACATGCTCTGAAGTCAGAGCACAAAAACCTTTTTGTAACAAAATATCGATTTTTGCTGTCCCTGTATCCATACATTATTAGCAAACAAAATATCACCATGCTACACAGTATCCATTTTCCCCCACCCCTATTAACAAGTAAGAATTCTAAACAAGGCTGTGATTGGCCTGCTCTTTGTACCAGTAAGAATTACAAGTTAATTAAATGTTTTTGTTACTTCAATTTGATAAAATAAAGTTTGCTTCCACCAACATCAATTAAATTTATAACAGCTAATCGGTCGTTTGACTAAAACAAGTAATCACTGTTATTAACAACAAGATTACTGCCTTTTTTCCATTTATTCCAGGCTTTAAGATAGAAGAGGTGTGTAATAGTGGGTCTTTGTTTGTTTGTTTTAAGCACAGGGTATAAAAGCTGACATGAGCCAGAATAACATTTAGAAACTTCTCCTGTGTCAGTCTTTGTTCACTGTTACATGTTGTAAGGTTTTAGTGTAATCACAGTGTGATGCTCTGATGCATTAATGCAGCCATGCTGAGTTCTTGTGTTTGCAGTGAACCCTCACACAAAACACTTTGCTCTCTAAAACGTGACACATCCATGCTTGCAGATTCATTTTTGATTGTGATTTCTGCTTTTTAGCTTGACTGAAACATAAACTGTTTTTGCAGGGCAAGAAGTACAAGCCTCTGGATCTGAGACCCAAGAAGACCAGAGCTCTGCGCCGCCGGCTCAACAAGCACGAAGAGAGCCTGCGCACCAAGAAACAGCAGAAGAAAGACCTCCTCTACTCAGTCCGCAAATATGCTGTCAAAGCTTAGAGGCATTTTCTAGTAGCAAAATAAAATCTGTGGAACGTACTGTTTGTGTTGTTTCTCCTTAAACACGTAAACACATACATGAACCAGGCCATGTTTCTGTGTTACAGTAACGTTGCTCTTTAGTGTCAGTTACAGTCAGAGGGATCAGGTTTTGTCTGGAGCCTCTTAAAAATAAAAGTAGGCTCTGCTCCTCATTTGAACTCTGCTGTGGAGCTCTAAGGACTAAGTTCTAAGGACTTGCATAGTGGGCTTGTTTAAATGGGGGGGTGGGGGATCTGATTTTGAACCCAATGGGGTTTTTTGGGGGGGGGGGCTTCAAAAAGGAGATACCTGAAGTTAATTTCAGCAGTAATTCAAAGGGACATTTTGTGTGTATCAATCTAATGACCTGTGTATAGCCAAAAACACCACTAGAGGGCAGCACAGTCAGGGCAGTAACACCCAAATACTGAATGACTCGTGCTGGGAATTTGTGAAGTCTTTATTTCAAAGGCACTGTGGCAACTACGAACAACTTAGTCAACATCTGCTTAATATCAGATCATGTCTGCCAACAGCAGCTCAGTGGTGGTGCTGGGTTAACGGGCACAACGCTGGAAGTCTCACTGCAGCCAATAACATGTTTTTCACAACAGGAGCTGGTACACGATGTTTGGGGACATACATGTAAACCATTAGTCAGCAAACAGTGCCTCAATATATGAACTTAAACTATTTAAAGTTATACAACCATTTAACTTTGTGTTTTTAGGGCAACATGATGATTTCTGCCACAAACAAACACACACGCACATTTAAATAGATCTGAAAAGACGATCACCAACTCATATCAGACTGAAGTGGTACAGAATTAATACAAAAGGCAAAAATGATGACATGCAGCTCCTGGACCGCCTGCTTCATGTAGTTTGGGTTCTGTCGTTCATGCTGATGTGACTTTACACGTACAGCTTATCTAAACAACTATCTCACGATGGCAGTGATGCTCCCTTTGCAAGCGGCCTCTTTCAGGAGGATAACACACCCTGCTGTACTGAAAACATTCGGGAAGGGTTTGAGGAACATGAAGACAAGCTCTTCATGTTATCTACAGATTCCATCGATCTCAGCATCTGTTGGATGTGTTTGATTGACAGATCCAAACTGTGCCTCTGTAGAAGCTCTACCTTGTTCACAGGTTCAGTTTAATTCAGTTAAATCGTATGTATATAGAACCAAATCGCGCTTTATACCGTAAAGAGCCCACAATATTAATAATTATCACCTGTAATAGTACTAATTGGTGCTAATCTCCTGAAGCCAGGACACCTTCACAGGTCCTGTAAAGTACACGTTGTATCAGTGCTGGTCTACATAAATGGTTTTAATGTGTGATGATGGGATTCCTCATGAGGACACCAGGCTTGTCTGTGTATGAGGGGCATTAATCTGAGCTTAGAGAGAATGTGAGGAATGGTAATCACCTTTACTCTAATTACTTTTCTACCCTCACCATACTGTCAGCTACACTTGAGGTGCCTCACAGCACATAACTCGCCGCTGTCCACTGCTGCAGCTCACACCGCCAGTATGATCCCTAACGCCGTCTTCCTCACACTATCTGTTTGTTTGGGCCTGTTTTGCCCGACTGCCTCCTCTCACGGGAGATCTGCTAAGAAGGCAGGCTGCTTCAGAGTCAACAGCTGCAAATGCATCATGGAGAACGGCAGCGGAGTTATAAACCTGAAGGCTATGGAAGACGCAGACGGCTTCCTGGGTCGTTTGAAGCCCGTGGCAGCAGGCGGTGTGGACGCAGAGGTCCTCCTGTCCTTCAGCCCCTGCCAGCATTTCTCCCTGCCGGATGACTTCACAGGAAGTGACTGCACTGGTGTCGCAGCATGCCTCATTGTCAGGTAGAACAGACGCATTGCTATAACGAGCATGTAGATTTATGTCACACCAACTGTAGAGACTGTATTTGCCTCAGCACGTCTCTCTGTGAATCTGAGCTGTGAACAGTTCTCACCTGACTGTTTTAACCTGTGGTGAACA